GGGGGGGTTGTGGCAGAGACCTATTTGAGTGGGAAAGGTTGCCATGACATTCGTGGCTTTAGCCTGCTCCAGGCAAAAATACATTTGTTCTCACCCCCTATGCCCTGTGAAGCCCTGAAAGTCTTGGCTTTCCCTTTGCTAGATGAATGATTATAGAAAGTAGCGTGTAGGCTACCCATTGAAGTGCCTGTAGTTAAACAGGGATCGGGATGTGTGCAGTTGAGATAGTAAAGCATTTATATACAGTTGAGATAGTAAAACATTTATATACAGTTGAGATAGTAAAACATTTATACATATACAGTAAAACATATTATAACAGTTCAATGCTCAGGACCACTTCTTTTGGAAGTTGGACTTTTTAAAGTAGAATGCCATAGGCAGTAACAATATGATTGCCAATTGATGGTGCTTGTATTTTGGTTAAAAATGAATAGAATCACGTAATTTCTTTTGAAGAGATTTATGTAGGACAAAAGAGAATTTAACTGAGATGTAGTGGCATGATGGGAAGAGGTGGGAAAAGAGGTCTCTGTAGTGTAAATAGTATTCCATTCTTACTCACACATGAGGCGAGGTGTTGGGATGGTGAAGCAATAAGATAAGCTTAAGGGTTTATTAACCCTATCCGTACGTCCTGGGGTCTTTTTGTGCCCCCAGGGTTGTATTCTTCACATTTTAGAATACTTCTAGTATGAAGATTTCTTTGAAACTTTCAGTATTTCTCAAAAAATCGTTTTGACGGACAGCTATAAGGCAAAGCGTATGGATCCAATTTTAAACGAGTAATTTCCTCTTTGGAAAGTGGTGGGACCGAGTTCCTTACGTCGTATGGATACGATAGTAAAACATGACGTATGGATAGGGTTAATAATCATATATATAGAAGAGAAGATTAGTGTTGTTATCAGGTCTTGAAAGACGGGGCGTGTAAAATTATAGGAAAAGGGCTCAAAATATTTATGCTGTCCAAGATGCCTTGAGAGAATTCATCCGCGGAATTATGTTACCAATATTTAATTTTGTGCTGGCTTAACTTAATTATTCATGCTTAGCATTTTTCTACAGCCCGTGTTGCCTCAGACTACTTTAACCCTATCCGTATGTCATGTTTTACTATCGCACCCATACGACATAGGGAACTCTGTGCCCCCACTTTCCAAATAGGAAATATACTTGTTAAATCCGATCTGTACGCTTTGCATAGCAGTCTGTAAAAATTTTTTTTTGGGAGAAATACTGAAAGTTTCAAAGATATCTTCGCACTAGAAGTGTTCTATAAAGTGAAGGATACTCTGGGGTACAAAATGATCCCAGGCGAATGGATAGGATTAAACCACTCCAGAAGTCTTTACTCTTGACTCTTTTAAAAGTGGTTTGTGAGGGCTTTGGTCATGATGTCTTCTCCTTTCACTTTCCGACTATCTTTGTAGCGTCTCTTTAATTGTTTCTTTGTGAAATGTGGGTGGTTGATACTTCCTCGGGTGTTGTACTGTTTATCAAGTTAATGAGGTTTAATATGTGTAGCTGATGCTCCTCATTTAATGGCTTGCTGTGAGTGTGCTAACTTTCAAATATCTCCAGGTGGGTGGTTGGCGGGTGCTCTGGTGTGGTTTGCTTCTTCTTTCCTATAAAACTTTTATTGTCCTTATCTCCCCTCCTTCTTTTTTATGTTTGTTACTCTCTTGTAACACCTTTAATCTTCTGGCGCTCATATGACCTTATGCAGTTGCGAGTGCCGTAAAACACTTACAAAAACTAAAATATCTCCAGAACATCTACTCTGTTAATTATGATACATGATTACTGACTTGTGGCAGGCAGTAGACGACAGTTTGATAAAATGCCTAATTTGCTAATTTGCCAGCTTTGTAGTTGGACTCAACACCTTTCGACCACCGTACTTGATTTGAGAAAATTAGAACCTGAGGTCTCCCATTCAACTAGAAAGTGCAAAATTTTAATGCTTGCCAAAGAGTTGCCAGCTTAGAATGGGACATAGATCTAGAGAGCTTCACAAAATTCTGAATTAGTGTTAGTTTTAGTTTGAATTGAATGAAATGACCAATTTTAACCTTTTGGTTCAGGTGATATGACTATAATTTAGTTTTTAATTGGGAATAAAAAATAAAATTGAAGTATCCGTTCCATAACACAACAATTTCATGTTTTCTTCATGGGAATCTGCAGGGCGGGCTGACAAAACCAGTTACTTGTGGCAGTCAATGGAAATATTGGCTGAAAATGGACTCTGGGGGCAAATTTGCAGATTTTCATTGGATGCCATTTTATTCAAGTTTAACATGTCTTTTATTTTACCATACTGATAAGTTGTGCAAACTGCCTTTAAATTAGACGAACATATCTATTTCCAGAGGACTAAAATCTGTGAAGTAGCTCCTGTTGTCAGCATGCCTCATATATCATGTTATATTATATTCATTTTAAACTTTTACAAGCTATGTTGGGTGTAAATGCATGGGGCATTCGTAAAGGAAATGTGGGAAGTGGAACTTCCTTTGGAAGGCCATCACAGAGCTCCGGTCTACTGCTTTTGCATAGATATAACATCAGGTTTTATTGACTCTTACATTACAGAAGGCTGTTCCGCATAATTTGTATGCAGCCAAGTTTATCCTCCAATTTGTTAACATCATAAACTTCTGTATGAAACTCCCCTCCTATTAACCGGCTTTTATGAAATAGATTCTTAAACGAGTGGAAATGAAAGGTCCATGCAGTAAAACATACACTTTTGATTATAATTTAGTAGTTAAGATAGACCTGCTGGGGTTTTTAAGGTTTTTGTTTTAAATTTAATCAACTAAGCATTGCCTTGGGCCAGCTGAACTGGCATGCTGAATACTAAAAGTTTTAAGCCTTTCTCACTCACTTTGGTCTGAGGTAACTGTCCTTGTGAGAATATTTTGATCTTTTTACTGCCGAGCTTAAAACTATTTTGGCTTGTTAAATTTAGATTAGAGAGCAGGTGTGGCACAGATCGGATAGTGAGAGAGTTAACACATTATCCATTCTGGAAGAGTGGATGGTGCGTCTTTTTCATACTTTGTGTACTCTTGTAAATTTTAAATTGTCATTTCTTTTACCACTTTGCTATGAGTGGTTAGAGGGTGCTTCTTGTCTACTTTACTAAACTTCTTACCTGTGCCTCTGTTGTTGCTGAATGTGGCTCTTGATGTTTATTATTTACTCAGACCTCGGGGGAGGGGGGGGTGTGTTTGATAACTTGAACAGGCTCGCCTCAGTTGAACTGAAACAAAGAATGCTCATCTGTTATTGTTGTTCTTTTTTACTCTTTTGTACTAGCAGAAGCTAAATGGGTGTGAGGTTCTCATGAATATTTAAATGTATTCTATTTCTGAGCAGTCTTTTGAATAGGTCCAGTTTGATAAAAGTGCCTTTTCCTTGTGTCTGCTCATCTGTTCAGTGAACAAAAAGTCATCAGACACAAATGAAGTAATACTTTATAAAGTGTTGCTAAAATATTCGATTATTCTGCCCTTTTTGGGAATAATTATAATGGGAAATAAGAGGTACCCATACTTGTCTTAACATGTTAAGTGGGGAATGGGTGACTAGTGTGACAGTAAGTGTGTGTTCTTCCTGATACGCTTCACTCATCATCACATGGTGTCATGAACAGACAGGGGAAAACCTTTGCTTTAGACCTACCACGCAAAGTCTGATTTACATTTCATTTTTCAACGCGTTACAATGCCATGTAAAATGAATTTTGTGAAGGATGAAAGGATTTTCCTTACCATTGCATAGATAAAACTTGTTGATGTGTTCTCTTTTCCCCATTCAGATGTTTGGATGGTATGGCTTTACTTCCTACTCCTTTACTTTCTGTAACTAGTTTCTATCTGTCCTTATTCACTGTAATATTTCTTTTTCTCAAAACTCAAAGTTGCGTGCACCATAAAACTCTACTAAAGTTTAAAAAAAAAAAGGTGGCTGTTGTCATTTTGATATTTTTTCAACGGATTAACAAATATTTCTTTCTTTTTTCAGGTTGTGAGGATGGTTGTGTACTCGTGTAAATGCCTTAATGTTCAAGTCTTCGGTCAAGAACCCCAGCAAAGGTTTGACTCAGGTCAGTTCTCTAGCACAGTTGCAATGATGATGTCAAATACATCAATAATAATAATACTAATAATAGTAATTATTGTTATTATTATTATAATAATAATATGACGTTTATATAGCACTCAAACCTGATTAAAGAAAAAAGGCTCTGAGCACTTTGCAAATTTATACAATAACAACATATAAACCGTCCAAGTGTCGCTAACAAATAGCCAAAAAATTGACGAACGCCTGGTTCCACCGCGTCGTGACACATTTACAGTTACAAATTCCAATGGAGGGGGAAGAGGATCGTCTGTTGAATCATAGTCGTGATAAGATAAAGGTTAGTTTCATCTAATTTTCGGCACTTATATATATGGCCTTATATTATTGTGTTGCAAGTGCCGTAAAACACTTACTTAAACTTTCTTCATTATCTTTGTAAGATATCCCTCAAACTACGGATCCCTCGAACTGCCGAGGCTGGTCCCAGCGAATTCGAGCTATCCGTGTTATATACTTTATTTTTATACAGTCTAGCACTCACTTAGGAAACAGATTTTTAGTGGGTGGTTGGCGGGTGCTCTGGTGTGGTTTGCTTCCTTCTTTCCTATCAAACATCTATCGGCCTTTTTTCCCCTCCTTCTATTTTGTGTTTGTTACTCTCTTGTAACACCTCTAATCTTCGGCACTTATATGCTCTTATTGTGTTGCAAGTACCGTAAAACTCTTACTAAAACTAAAAACAAATTGTTAGGTCCTATTTAAAAGGCATACATGACGAAATTCTACATAAATAACAAAAAGATTTCCGGATCTTGTCCTTTTGGCTTTGTGTGAGCTAGACTAAATGCAACTGAAATTTGAGCTAAATTAACCGACCAACAGTTGTAAACATAATTTGAAAAATGAGTGCAATGAGTTCATGTTTTGTTTTATGTGAATATTTTTCCAGATTCCTTGGAGACCTGTCCCTTGGGGGCCAAGGGCAAGGTCATAGAGCTCATTGACCCAGGCTTCAACTTTGTAAGTCGTCTCTCACTTGTTTGTTGTTTTTTGCCATTAGTCAAAAAGTTCTCTCTCTACCCAGTGGGTGGTTGGCGGGTGCTCTGGTGTGGTTTGCTCCTTCTTTCCTATCAAATATCTATCGTCCTTATCTCCCCTCCTTCTTTTTTATGTTTGTTACTCTCTCGTAACACCTCTAATCTTTTGGCGCTCATATGACCGTATGCAGTTGTGAGCGCTGTAAAACCTCTACTAAAACTATTCTCTCTACTCATTTGTTTTGTTTTGTTTTTGCTATTCCTCAGAATGTTTTCTCACCACTCATTTGCTTTCTACCTTTCATCAAAATGTTGCCAATGTTTGAGAAGATTGTCCCGTAACAAGCATAGAAACTATAAGTGCTGTGAATGCCATGTCCTTTAACTCTATGCCCCCTCGGGACAGCGACGGTAAAAAGCTGTCCCTTTTCCCCACGGGACGCCGATCGGCGATGGTAAGAAGCCGTCCATTTTCACCACGGGACGCCGATCGGCGACGGTGTGGTATAGTATAGCGTGTACCGCACCTGTATCCTAGTGCGTGGGGATAAGTGTTGTGCGCTGACATTGACGGACAAACTGTTATTATTTTCGGACTACTCTTTTGTTTTTGCCATTTGTCAAAATATGGCTCATCGTGTTGAAGAAAACAAAGTGGGTGGTTGGCGGGTGCTCTGGTGTGGTTTGCTTCTTCTTTCCTATCAAACATCTATCATCCTTATCTCCCTTTCTTCTTTTTTATGTTTGTTACTCTCTTGTAACACCTCTAATTTTCTGGCGCTCATATGACCTTATGCAGTTGCGAGCGCCGTAAAACCTCTACTAGAACTACTAGAATAAAACAAAGCACCGGTAACAATACTGACACGGAGATCTGGATTTGATTTCGGTCTAGAGATAGATCAAATTTGGCTGGATGTGCAAGGACAAATTGTATTATCTCTACAGCCTTGTTTAACATATATAGTACTGTGTATTTTATGTTTACAGATTACCTTTGTAACCTGCTTTTGTTTTGGCTTTAAAAGTTTTTGCAAACAATGTTGTCATGCTACATTCCGGTTCTTTGCTTTGGAGATGGATATTAAATTCTGAGGTCCCGCTTCTTAGATAAACCCAAGATGTTGGATGTTGGAATGGGTGGGCGTTTGTCACTTACACTTACTACTGGTTGTGCACTTTATAAACTGCAAAAAGTCACTTGGGCAGTTGTTGTTTTGACTGTAAGGATTTGTTTTTTAGACAGACTCACAAATGCCACAAATGATTTTCTCGGAAGTCAAAAAGCTGACTTAGTCTTTTTTTAAAAATGTGTTCTCAAAACAACAGCAGTTTAAAGAAAAAAATGACTTAAGCAGCAGCCATCCTGACTAATCATTTGTTTTGTTGACAGACCCACAAATGTTACACACGACTTTTTTCAAATTGTAAGGTTTACTAAATTAACACTTTCCACCCAAGCAATGTGCAGATTGCACAACACTTGTCCCCGCCACTGACCAGGATGCAGATGGGCTAGATAAGTACTGCACCTGTATCTCGGCAAAAATACCCCAACCATTATGACATTTTCAGCATACTGAGAAAATTGAAAATGATGATTGCATGTTCACCAAAAAAGGAATTAAAATCGGAACTGAAAACATTAAATCTAGCTTATTCATCACCCAAATTCTCCTCATGGCGTAAGAGTAAAGCAGCACTCATGCTAGGTCTACTCGACATTTTCCAAAAAAATGTTCCCAATTGTTGTCTGATTTTCAACCTCAAAGGTCAAACACACCATTCAGAAAGGAAAATTATGTTTTAACAAGTGCACATGTCGAAAAGGAGATCATTGCTACAACGTTTTTGTTGCTATTATATCACATCATTGCCGCTGATTGTCGTCCTGTGGGGGAAAGGGATGGCTTCTGTGGGTGGTTGGCGGGTGCTCTGGTGGGGTTTGCTCCTTCTTTCCTATAAAAAATTCTATCTTCTCTATCTCCCCTTCTTCTTTTAAAATTTTGTGTTGGTTACTCTATTGTAACACCTCTAATCTTCAGCACTTATATGACCTTATTGTGTTGCAAGTTCTGTAAAACTTAAACTTGTACAAAGGACAGCTTCTTACCTTCACCGATTGGCGTCCTGTGGAGGCAAAGGGTTAAACACTTTAAAAAATAAAGTTTTCTCAAAACAACAAAAAGTGACTTGGACGGTTGTGTTGTGACTGTAATGATTTGTTCTGTTCACAGACCCACAAATGCCTGGTCCACCGTGAGAGAAATGATCCGTGGACGGTGTATATCTGTGTGCCGTGCCACATGCGGACGCACGCCGTCAATGTCCGAGCTAATCTGCTGGTCATCAATTCAGAGATGGAGGTCAGTTTATGGCTCTGTGTGACTATTTTTTGTTTTGATTTTGGTGGTATCATGTTTTAATTGTCTATGTCATAATCTTATTGGTGTTTTTATGGTAGAACCCAGTATGAAATTGACTGTTGAGAGATGAGTTTTGGCTTGGTGCCTGATTTCAGCTTGTCCTCTATGTTCTTCTTATTTTTTTTTTTTTTTCCTAGCTATGTGTCTTGAACATCCAGCTCACCCCCACCCCCCCGGGGCGGTGCTACTGACTGAAGTGTATTTAGGCCATTCCCAAAGGGGGGACATTGACATGTTATTATGCACAGTAGAATTGTAAATGGGCTGATTCATCAATGTCACGCTCATAACCGTGCCTGAACTGCAACAGGGAACTGCTGCCTTTTCTTTCCTAATCCTTACTATTGTCATTTTCCTCTACTTCTTTTGTATGTTTATCACACTCTTGTGACCTGCTATTTCCGGGGTGCCTTGATAGTCATAGCAGACTTCGTGCTGTTGAAGCTAGAAAGGTGAGCAGAGAACCCTGATTCCCTGTAAGGACTTCTCTGTTGACATCCACTCCTTGGTGCTCATGTGACCTTATGCAGTTGCGAGCGCTGTAAAGACTCAACTAAAACTAAAACTGTCTGTATCTGATATATAGTCCAGCACACACATAGAAAAATCTTTTTCTTAATTTTGAATTTCACTATGTAGGCTATGTGTTTTGAATACAAAGAATAAACTTGTAAGTAGAAAAAAATTTGGGTCCTGAACATCTGTTTACTGTGTGCATGTTTTACTATATTCGTATTCACTGTGTGCGTTCTAGACTGTATATGATTGATAACCCTTTTGAGATGCATTGTCACTTGCTGCTTCACTGGGCACAATTTTGGATCCCCTGGGATGACAAGTGGCTCTCAATCTAATGGTTGATTGCCGATCTGGTTTGTAAATACGACAAACTCTCTAAAAGCTGAAAATTCCTTCAAACTGAAAAAAAAAAATCTGGCTAAATTAGAAACTGTAATTTGTTTAATGAAGTTGTGTCTAATTGAAACATTAGGTGGTAAATACAAAATATGGCGAACTGCACTTGTCATTATAGTCCTCGTGCATCGCAGGGCATGACGAACACTTATATAACCTATTTGTGTTGTAAGTGGTGTAAAACTCTTACTGAAACTGAATAGAATGGTGAGTTTTTGTTTTGTTTTGTTTTGTCTTTCAGGATGGGGAGGAAGCTGTCTTAGCCATGAGGAGTAGACCGGAGTACTCGAAGGTGTTCAAACTTGTTCTGGCTAATCAAGATGGGAAACACAGAGAAGATGGTAAGTGGGTGGTTGGCGGGTGCTCTGGTGTGGTTTGCACCTTCTTTCCTGTTAAACATCTACTATCATCTTCTTGTCCCCTCCTTTTTTGTGCTTGTGAGTCTCATGTAACACCTCTTATCTTCGGCATTTATATGACCTCATTGTGTTGCAAGTGCCGTAAAACACTTACTAAAACACAAAACAATCTTCAGTATTTATATGACCTTAGTGTTCTAAAAGTGATGTAAAACTAAAACTGACATTTCCCCACCATGCGTTTTGTTGTAAGTCCAGATTTCCTGGGTGAGTGGTTGGCGGATGCCCTAGTGTGGTTTACTCCTTCTTTCCTATTATAAAATTATCGTCCTTATCTCTCCTCCTTCTTTTTTATATTTGTTACTCTCTTACTTGTAACACCACTAATCTTCGGCACTTATATGAAGTTATTGTGTTGCAAGTGCAGTA